GTCACTTTTTAAATATTTTAATGATCTTATGGGAAACACAATTAAATATATCTTCAAACGATGATCAGAAAGTAACATACTAAGATAGAGGCACTGTCCTCAACTACTATGTATGAGCCAGTTTGTTTACAGGAGCTGCTTAAGTTGGTTCATCTCAGTAGTGCGTTGCGATTTTTATGATGGATAAAAATATCGAACAAAAGTTTGCCTCAAATTTTGTATTTGTACCGAAATTTCGGTTGCTTAATCATTGCAAATGTTGGAGAAAGATTACGATGACTCAGTTTTATCTAAAGCACAAGCCTACGAATGGTACAAAGTCAAAGATGGTCGAGAGATCGTTGAACACATGCGTCGGTCTTGTTCGACCTTCGACTTGTTCAACTGATGAATATATTAAAAAGTGAAGGATATGGTGCTTAAAAATCGTTAGGCAAGTGTTAGAGAGTTAGCGAGAATGCTCGAGTCCGTTCGAATGATGTTGGTGGATATTTTGGGTATGAAATGCCTTCTTTCTCGACTCGTGCCAATAAAGCTAAATCTTTTCAAAAAGAGTATCGTACACAGATCTCTATGGACATGATGTTGATGGTGCAGTGCGGTTCCGAACTCACATTCATACAGAGCAATACGAGTACAACTGCCGTTGAGACATAGCCTTTGAAAGCAACAAAGTAAATACTGGTGAATAATTAAATATTTTATGCCTTATTCACAATTTCCGTGTACTTTTTAATCATTATGTTAGGAAAATATATATGAATCAGATAGTTGAAAGAGTAAAGTCAGATATATTATTCACATATGTATACTTAAGTTATTATGCTGATTTTGGCACCTGAAATAAATACTCTTTGATAACCAAAACTTACTGTACTCTTATAATAAACAAAAAAAAAATCCGAATTCCGTCGCTCAAAAATTTTGGAGCACCAAAAACAAATATATATACCTTTGGGCAGGGAAACTAATCAAAAACTGCAACTTTCCGCTGAAAATCTGTAAAGTTTGCTCATGAAAAAAATTTGCTTTTCCGCTATAAATAACAGTATGAAAGGCACAACCGTTAACTATGCATTACATTGTCAGACTTTTAGCTGAATGAAGCAAATTCCATTTTAAATTTCCCATACACATTTGCACCTTAAACAACACATTGAAGTTGGCTCCTGCTATGTTGAAGTATTTAAGAAGCACATATCAAAATAAATCCTTGTTTTACACAGATGTAAAAAATCCCAAGCAACATTGAAAGTATCGGAGTCACATTTCATCACACAGACCACCGACCATGTAAGAGAATAATGTTGTAAGAATTCAACAATCTGATTTCATTTGTACAATGAAATGTTTAGACGCATAACATATGTTGCCATGCACACCACACACACACATCATCAAGGCAATATTGCAAATGGAACGCAGCTCTTACATTATCATATTATGTAACACATGCTCTTCTAGTGGTCATGCAAACGAAAATGTGCTTGTTTTATTCGCCACTTCAGTTGCTACGCGTAAAATCTAACCTTTTTCGGCGAGATACTTTTAACCTTTTAATGTATTCGCCAAAAAAAACATACAAACAAATGAACATATTAAGCAACACGCGCGCATGAGAGAAATCCGAAGCCCTTTACGCGGTAAGAAGATGTGAAACGTTAATCCTTTTAGGACTGCTTTTACACTTTTGTATTCTGGAATCTTATTTCAAAAGCACACACACAGCGCAACAGATTAAGTGCGTAAAGTTTGTGATGTAGATTAATTGCTGGCTGACGCTCAATCCGATAGCGGACACTGTGTTAGCGATTGACCTTTTCAACTCATGTGCAAAGTAATATTTTGTAGTTGTACTCTTCTATAAAGTACACCAATGCGGAGCAGAAATTTTAATGATTTTGATTTTTCTTTCGTAAATTGGAGCTTTCAGTGGAAGACTTTCCAGTTTTGATCTCATATTCAGTTACAGTTTGCCGTATTTGTATGGACTGCGTGTATTCCTTTCAGAGGCTGGTTGAAAACACACATAGCATTAATCAACTTTTAGTTGGAAGTGGTAATAGGTTAAGGTAATTGGCACTTCATATTGCAACTTGATAGAAATTCGAAACTGCGAAAGCATATTTGTCTAATTTTCATCATCAATTTGTATGACTTGCTCTGTTCACCTCTGTTATTGCCTTTTTATTTGCAAAAAAATATTGCTCTGCCGTTATATAACTGAATATTCACTAAATTTCTGGAATAAAGAAAATTTTCGTAGATTTGTTGCTTTCTAGCGTCTCCTACCTGTAACTATTTTACATACAGGGTAAAGGAAAAGGAAAGAGCTTCAATTAAGAACTATCTTTGTTATTCAGAAAACTTTCGCTTTACTTGGTGCGAACAATGGTCGGTTAGCAAAATTTCGCCTTAAAAAAGATTCGTTAAATTTGCTGTTACTATTTGTAATGGTAATTCTATTCGCAAAGTTGTGAAAACTACAAAACCAGCTGCAAATTTTCCCTTTCGACCCAACCGACCGAGATAAATATTTCCATTTTCATTTCTTTGCAATTAACTCGACTGTACTACTTTGGAGCCTGTGCCTTTCCATTTGCCGTTGAGCAGATAGTTTTCCTTTGCTGTTTTGTTACATTTCAACGTTTTTATGCTAGCTTTAGCGTAACCTTGAACCTTTTGACCCAGACAGGGGTGTTCTTCAGCTGCAGCTATTAATTATTTCATTGACAACAGCAACTACAATCTATTGACCTCATTTCGATTCAGCATATTTTGTACGCACACTTTGAATCTTTGAATGCCTAACCACCCACTTCCTCCAATGGTTTGCGCCCATTTACTTCCGCACTTTGATGTGTAAGTGTTTTTACCCCTTCTTTGGTTTAAGTTCCCTTAGCTGTATAATAAAGCTAAGTATTTAAAATAATACTTTTCTCCATTTTTTGTTTTCCTTCAAGGTTACTGGCCGCTTGGCTTCGTTTGGTGCAACATTTACGTGACGTGCGATGTGCTGGCTTGTTCGTCGAGTATCCTGCACATGTGCTTCATCAGTCTGGGACGATATTTGGGCATACGAAATCCGTTGGGATCGCGGCATCGTTCGACGAAGCGCTTGGCTGGCATTAAGATTGCCATTGTTTGGGTTATGGCAATGATGGTCTCGAGCTCAATAACAGTCTTGGGTAGGTATTGGAAAGAGCCTGGTTCCCATATAAATCAAGCTTGATTCGATTTTTCCCTAATAATTTTTTCTCTTTTCTCTTCTGTCAGGCCTCGTCAATAAGCACAATATCATGCCGGCACCGAATATTTGCGTCATAAATAATCGCGCATTCTTCGTGTTCGGCTCGCTGGTGGCGTTCTACATTCCTATGCTGATAATGCTCACTTCCTATGCTCTGACAATACCACTGCTGCGTAAGAAAGCTCGCTTTGCGGCCGAGCATCCAGAAAGTGAACTCTTTCGACGGTAATTGCAAGCTTTAATAATATCTTAATATTTCTTTTTATTGACAAGGAACAAGTGAATGGAACAGCAGTAGAGACTCAAGTTAGTTTCAGAAAACAAGTACAAACCCTCAGGTCATGTTAGTTCCATACTATTAGGGAGGCAACTTAGGGGAACGAGAAAAAGATTTAAAATTTTTATCGGCACAATATGGTGGACTTAAATAAAATAATATTAGTCAAACAAATTCCTCCTACAAAAATCGGAAATCCTTCTACAAAAATCGGAAAATCATTGATGAGATAAAAGTCATAGTTGTCGATGTATTTTAGTTATCAAATGAGGAGGAGGCTTAAAACTTCTAGGAAAATCCATTATCAGAAACAGACGCACGAACTCATCGGACCCGTCAATGATGCGCTCGTCACTCTTAATTCTGAGTTTAAGCCAAATATTCTAGATTAATAATACACTATTTAGTAAGTAATGAAAATGCGCAATTTTGCAGATGCAACCAACAACTAACATTAATTTTGAAGCAGAAATTCTATGAAAATATTTACTAACGTGAAAATAATTTTAGAATGATGAAGTGTAAGCAAGCATCGCGATGAGATTTTAATGAAATTTGTTAGTGAAAATATAAAATTTGTGCTTGGAAACTTTTTGATCTTCTCAATTTAAATTAAAAATTTTTAATTGATTGTAAGCTCTAAATTAAAAATTAAATTTACAAAATTTCTGAGAAGATCAAAAAGTTTCCAAGCACAAATTTTATATTTTCACTAACAAATTTCATTAAAATCTCATCGCGATGCTTGCTTACACTTCATCATTCTAAAATTATTTTCACGTTAGTAAATATTTTCATAGAATTTCTGCTTCAAAATTAATGTTAGTTGTTGGTTGCATCTGCAAAATTGCGCATTTTCATGAAAATTCCATATATTTCTTCTTTCTTCACGTTTTTCACCATCAGCTTGGGTGGCCGTTTCACCATACGACCACAGCACAGCCAGCAGCAGTTGCAACTGCCCAACAACAGTTTCCGCCGTAGCAATAATAGTCACACTAGCTACAGCAAATATTGTGGCAGCGATAACAATCGCAATTTCAGCGCCAACAACGATAGAGACATTAGCGCCACGGGTAACGGCGATTGCGACAAGCAACAAACGCACGGCTTGCGACACGTCAACACAGCAAACTATTCGAATGGTTGTGGCAAAGCGGACGGTGGTGGCAACAACTTTGGCGGTGCGCTCTTCAAATGCCGCACCAGCTTTCGGCGCAGCGGCATGCGTCACACTTCATCGGCATCGGTGCGCATTAAGTCGCCAACACGCGACATTGGCGGCATGGATCGGTTGACGCAATCGCAATCGGCCCAACACAGCAGCTACTGGCGCACACACGGCAATCCGAACATAATGGACAGGTAAGTGCATTGTCAGGCAAGTGACGGCGGTTTGCGGGCATTCGAAAACAGAAAGGCTGCACAAAGTGCCTAGGGGTACTATAAATGCGGCGGCATAAAGGCATTTTTAGCTTTGTTATGGTCGATTAGTCAAACTTCCCGTGACTAGGAGCATCTTCAGAGTTTTGCTGACATAGGAGCGCCTAATCTCGCCTGCGGAAATTCGTAAATTTGATGATATTCTTCAATCAGAGATCCTATGAAAATTAAGGTAGTAGAATACATAGGCAGTAAACCTTCAACTGACATTAGAACTCACAATCTTAAATTCATGCCTTCTAACTCTTGTGGAGTCACTTTTGACAAACTAAAGTAATATTTTCAAAGCTCACCTTTATATCAATGATTTCCGATGAATTTCTTGCGACTATTACATATCTGTTTAGAGACGGAGTTTAGATATTGTCCTTCAAGTCATTTTTTTTACTTACCCATCTCAACAAGATCTTACAAATAACAGGCCTTATACGGAGAAAATCCTGGACGATTCCGTCCTATACTCGATGTCCACCCACCTTTCACACATTCTGCTTGGTGAGGAAGAGTTTTAGTCAATAATGGTTACCTGTAGGCTGTCTCTGGCTACATCGCAGAAATGTCTTGCTGTTGTTCAGCTATTTCGTTCACCTTCACTCTGCCTGGATTCTTTGAACCAAGTGCTTTGCGGCTTTTTTTAGAACTGCTCGATTTTGTGCACTCGACTTGAACTTCGAATTTTCAGGAAGCTTTTGTAATCCTCCACCGTTTTTTGTTTTTTCTTTTTTTTTTTTTTTTTTTTTTTTTTTTTTTTTTTTTTTTTTTTTTTTTTTTTTTTTTTTTTTTTTTTTTTTTTTGAGGCGTTTAATTTCTTCCTCATCAAATGATATGCCGGCTACCTGATCTTTGGCAATCTTTCGTAGTACAAAGTCTGTCCTCTGGTACCGATTTGACCATTTGGTATGCGCACATTACTATTACTTAAGTCTCTTCTCCACGTCAAGGCGAGCGTTACCGAAAAGTTGGAAGATCTCTATAATGAAGATTTGCCAAAAATGTGCCTTTAAATGATATTAAGGTTCTCACTTATACAAAAAACAACAATGTGTTCTACTAAACAAATTTCGTCTCCTATTTTTGTATGGGTGTATATAAACGAGCTCTCAGTTCTAATAAAAATAAAGTTATTACTTCAAAAGTACTTTCAATGCAATTTAGATGAAATATGGCAAGCGTGGTCGCCACACTTTCTTTATTACCGTTAAATAGGCCATTGCTTTTTTTCATGGCCAATGGACTAGCCATGAAATGCTCATATAACTATACATACAAACGCGCATAAAAATACACAAATAGGAGTAGATAGGTTCGAATGCATATCTGTGACGCAAAACTGCCACAGCAGTGCGGCGAAAAGCGGCAATTCCCGCGAAATGAATAAATAAGCGCGGAGCAGAAGCAGCTGGGAGCGCTTTCACAACAATGCCAAAACAGCAACAAAAGCGCATAAATGCATGTAAGTGACGTTGCAGCTGGAAAATGCTGGCAGCAAAGGCACAAGCAAGCGCATTTACCCAACCATATGAAGGTATGTGCACTAGCACCGTTATAACTACAAGCAGTTACATGCAATCGCCGTGGTTTATTGCAATCGTAAGCGTTAGTTTGCTGCAATTTTCTTGCAAAAACGCTTTTGCCTGCAAACAACTTAAATCTCTTGTAAGTGTGCGTTTGTTGTTTGCGTCTATGTGCACTCTTGGAGTTGGTAGATATACAGTAATCTCTGTTATATGGTAAACAACGCTTTGACATAGTCTCCCAAACAAAGTAATCAACTTAACGGCGCTTTTGTATAGCAGTGCATCTTTTACAGTTTTTCTCTTAACACCCTAGCTTTCAACCTAAAACAGAAATCACTAAGCAAGCTTCGGATCTCAATCTTATACCTTGACATTTCAGAGCTTGCTTCAGATTCAAAAGAAGATTAATTTCTGGTCAATTTTTCAGCTTAAAAGATAAGGTATTTCGTTAGCACTTATTGAACTCGGAAGAAAAATTAGCACACAGTTCGTGATTGTGATGTTTAATGTCAGCATCGAAACAGCAAACTTAGAAGAAGGAACGATGCAATCATTTATGCGATTCAAGATGTTTCTCCGAACAGACAAAGGTTGTGTAATAGTATCTCTAAGCAGACGCTATATGAAATATCAAGATGAAGTTACCTTTGCGAATTCGAGATAATGCATTTTGACGCCACAAAAGCAGTTCCTCGATAAAAATGAGTATCACACCGCCGCTTCTCGGAAACGCAACTTCTTTAAGAACTACAGAAACTTTCAATCGAACGGCTTGTTAGAACATATGCTCCATCATGATTGGCCTTAAATTCTTAGCTCAAAGTTGATCATTTCAAAAGGTCTTAGATTAGAGATTAGTTTTTTGATATGGATGAACTCCTGGGCCCATTTTGATGGTCATCCTCAAACGATGCTTCTGTTTTTTACAACCCAGCATGTATAATTCTCATGTCAACTTTCTAACTTACAAGATTAAGATTATATTTAATATAGTGGAGAAAATTCCTTTAGGGCACTACAAATGAATATCTGTTATAACAAAGGTAACTAGGTATGCAAATAGGGCTGATGCACTTAGCCGAGTCTCGAAATGGAATTAAAAAACGAAAAATTTACAAAAATTTAAGCGACTATGTAGATACCAGTCCATTTGGTTAATGCCAGTTGCTTGTTCGATTTGTAAACTATACTAATCAACTGTCAATCACAATACCGACTTCTTTTCCGCCAACTTTGAAATGCTTCACTGCACTTTTAATTCTTCTCAAGTATTTTCTAATAATTTTCCAACATAAATCACCAAGCGTTGCCATCCACTTCACCACTGCGGCGCAACATAAGGCTTGTGGCTAGCCACTCTTTAACAGTACATGCTAGTGGAACAACACTCGTAGCACTTTAAGTTAACTCGGCCGCAATTTTGTACCAACAAAAACATTCGCACTCATGCACTTCTGACGAGTTCAAGTATCTGCGCCACCTAGGCGGCTGGCGCACAGGAGGTCTCGGCTATTTACGCTTCCCCTTTTAGTGCTGCCATTTTCCACTTCCTTTCCCATGCGTTTCACAAGCAAAGTCATATAAATTTTTGTAAACAATTCGTGGCGAGCCTTTCTCTTTCTACTTTTCTTCGAGGTTTCACTTGCTTTTAGTTCTACTTGATTTTACCCCACGTCCATTTTGTGATGAAACTTTCACCTCAGTGGCAAGTGTTAACCAACAAAAAAAACTGCTGAAGCACTTATAATTGTAGTTTTGGTTTTACTTTTTTTTTCGAAGGATTTGTTGTTTTATAATTTTAAATATATTACGAAAGCACTAAGTGAGTCGTTTGTGTTTTTGTGAGTTTGCTTTCGCTTTTATGTGGCGCCGTAAAGTCGAGAAGACTTCACAGCTCTTAGCTCTTAAGTGTTGTAGTCACCATTATAATGTTTTTAACTGCAATGCCAAAATGTTTTGCATAACATAAAGAAATATGTAAGACATGAGTGGAAATATATATCTACCACTTTCAGTCATATAATATGGTATAAACGATTTCAGAGATAAAGTGCCTAAAAAGTTTCTTCTTAAAGAGACAAGTGAACATCAATCAGGATATCAGGCTCTCGTCGTGATCAAGTAAATCTAATTCAAAAATATACGATTTAGGGAGACTTAAATGTGCACAATCTAGCATGAAAAATCAGGCCAAAGCTTTCATGATGAAGTTGAATCAATTTGACCGTATAATTTTATAGATACGACTGCATACTCTGTAATCAAAAGTGACAGAAAGATCAATCAACATGACCACTCTCAAAATTATTACTCAAAAATGCGCTAAAAATTAAAAAAAAAAATAATCTTTTGCCGATTTCTTCTTCTCGAAGAATCAATATGCTTGCTTACAAAATCTATTTTCATCTAAATTCACTCAAATTGTTATTAACTGATATAAACTCGCAAATGTTATAAAATTTCATCTGCAACGTTACTCATACGCCATGTACACTCATGAGTAAGTACTCATACTCGCACACTTTAGGTGATACAAATATAGATACACGATTTCCAATCGCAACTAACTAAAGTTCGGCGGAAACGACAATGCCCACAGCAACGCAGACATACATACCTACACCTATATAACATCTTCCAAGAATATTTAAACTCACATAATCCTATTTTGCTATTTCTGCCACTGCTAACGCATGTGGGTTGCAAAGTGCATTCAAATTTCATTCCTCAACGCTACTACCTTAATTTGCTTGTGCTAAAACTGTTAGTTTAATCTTTGTGTAATTGGTTTAGGTGACATACGCTTTCCGCACGAAGAAAAATAATTCAATCACACTCTCTAAATTAACCACAAAATAAATTTAGTTTATTAGTTCGTGGAATGGGAAGCAAAAGCCAGCAGCAGCGCGTCTAAATGACTACGAAAGTGCAATATAAGTTTGTTGTTGGCATAACCCCGTGTCAGAAACCAATCAAATTAGAGTAAGATATTATCATTTGATGTGGCTGTCCATTACATCTTCTATTTATATACGTATATTTCATGTAAAATGTTTAGCTTTTTACTACAACTAACTACACAGATGTGCTTATGATTGCGATTTTGATAATATCACCACAATTATTGTCTTAATTTGGATTGTGAATATATTAAATTATGTTTATCATTATGACTACTTCTAGATTATAGTTGTGATTAGCGTAATCAATAACAGTAATAAAAAACATCGTGCTGCAGATATTCCGACGAATCCGACAAATTCGTTTGTGAATGCAATCAATAATTTAGCTCAGCATTCAATTATGATTCAAGCTATAATTATGACTATTTTATGAGCAAATTTACTTGGCCTAAGATTAACATTACATTATTGCAATACAACAGAAGAAAATCTAATAACTGTATGGATATTTTGTTCACACCTTCAGTGGCTTGCTCTTACTTTCTACCCTTAATTGCGCGCCAACGAACTAGGCACCCAATCACCGACCCCACAATCGCTGCAGTATTTTGCAATCCACCGAACCCTTCTAATAAATGCATTTACAAGCCACATTCATTTACTAAACTAATTTATAACTTCTTTATATGCACCGTGTTATGTCTTTACAGCCATCCCAATCGACACGCATCGGTGCGTGTGAGCGCCTCGCAACCGCAATTGGGTTATTCTACAAACAGTGGCACGGCGGGAAGCGCTGGCGGAAACGACAATGCCCTACGAAAGGATGTCATTAGCAGCATCAGCGGCAATACGGCCAACAACAATGGCAGTAACAGTGCGTTGCTATCGAAACAGTACGGCGGCACTTGTGAGCAGAGCACACAGACACCCGAGTCCATAATGCGTGAAACACGACGCCACAAGCTGAAAACATTTAAATTCTCACTGAATAATGTTACTGCGCCAGCGTTGAATTTGCGGTGAGCATTATGCATGAAATGCATATATTGGTGCCTATGCTAATAAGGCGCAGCCGGTCGCTTATGCGTTGCGCCTCTAATTGCATTGCACAACCCTGATTCAATTTGTGCATCTATATCCTCTAATTCTGTCGGTTTTTCTCTCCCTCTCTCTCTACCTACCTCTCTTTGTAGCTTCCTGAATAACCGCAGCAAACGCAATAGCTTATCCGCCAATGCAGTGGCCACCGAACAGAAAGCTACCAAAGTACTCGGCCTGGTCTTTTTCACCTTTGTCCTTTGTTGGTCACCGTTTTTCATTTTGAACATCATTTTCGCCGCTTGCCCCGCATGTCAAGTGCCCGAACATGTTGTGGACACATGCCTCTGGCTCGGTTATGTTTCATCAACAATTAATCCCATTATTTATACGATTTTCAATCGAACATTTCGCGCAGCTTTCATACGGCTACTAAAGTGCAATTGCGAGCGGTAAGTGGACAATTCAATTTTGATTTTGTGCTAATTAAAACCTAACTAGAAATGCCTATTTGATGAACATTCAAATTCGATTGGAATGTTTTGGAATATTTTATCTTGAAAATTATCGACTTGGGTGTTCATTTTAGTGTGATATTACCTACGTTGTAAACAGATCAATCATTTGTTTAATTATTGGCAGAAAACCAATTTGTTGATTTGTTGTATTCTTACCGAAGCACTCTAAACACATAGGCAAAACAGATCTGGGAGATTTCAACACAAAAAGCTTCAAGCAGCTAACTGTGCTTCCCAGAGACAAATGAGCCATCTAGTTCTATTACCTATTATTTCTGCCCAACATCAAAAATATACTCGAAAATGCTTATGGTAGTTTTAGTCAACATAAATTTGTCGTAGCAGATGTCACAACCTACAGTTAGCCTCGATCCAAACGGCTGATATTCACACTGAGCGCTTAAGTTACTATTTTTATGATTTTTGTGTTTTTAAATTAGTATTAATTTAAGAAATTTTCTCAAGCACATTTTTCAATAAAAATAATGTTAATTAAATTAGTTCCAAATTAGAAAAAAAAATCGTACTCGTATTCGTATGTATTTTTATTTTGAAAAACTTTTTTGGAATACACAAATGTTTAAAGCTGCTTTTTTCGACCGTTGAAATTTCAAATCCTTGCAACTGCAAAATATTATATTGAGTCGAAATTAAAACATACGTATTACGTATACGTATTAAAACATACGTATCCAATATTTTCCTCAAACAACGCGAAAAAATATTTTGGAGGTAATGTCCCATATACATTTTGTAAACTCTGACATACAGTGAAAATAAAAAAAAGTTGATTTAAAAACCGCCAAACAATTTCTGAGTGAGAGGAGAAATGTTTACACGTGTGCTCTTCCATATTTAAGCAAATTACAATTTAATCTATGAAACTAGTTTTTATTAAATTATTTAGCATTTTACAGTTATACAACCGTTATATGAGAATACGCATATGCATTTGTTGTTGCATGGAAATAAATTTAATTTAAATAAACTGATTTCTCATTTTCCAACTCTCTATTACTCTCCCTCTCTCTCCACAGCTCCGGTCGGCCATCACGTTATCGCTCCGTCACCGAAGGACGCAGCGCTTTAAGCCTGTGCGCTCCCTCCGCCCTACCGTTGGCCATTTCATTTCAAGGTGCACCTTTGATGACACCATCAACCACGAATGCGACACCGTTAAGCGATTTTCGTGGCAGCTATACGATCACAGATGATGAGTGTTAAAATTGAGTTGCACTAACCAGACCGTCGTGGATGCTGACTGCGAACTGAGCGGCAACATGGCAATTATTGTTTCGACTGAAAATGACAACATAAATATGCGAGTCGACGCCATTCAAGGGGCGAATCAACGGCGAAATGACGAAATGAAAACCAAAACGTAACTACTGTTACCTATACATAGACACATTAGAGCTCTTGGTATTCGACTAAACTACTAACCGGATAGCACATTATATGAATAATAATATTCGGCTTGCAGTATCTAAATAATCGTAAGTCGTCGACTATTCGTTTAACTACAGATTTTCGACTATCCAGTTAACTGTTTGTAGCCTGCTATTCGAATTGTAAGCATTCAACTTCTATGAATTTTTTCTAAGTATATACGTTTTCTTAAATATAAAACAAAAAAAAATCAAAGGCTGCTTGGAGTTCAAACAATTTTCATTTTTTCAAATACTTGCGGCAGAGCTACTATTCGAAAAGTAATAATCGGTTAATATCCATACAAACGGTTACCAACCGTATATTCGAAAAATCGGTTTTCAGGTTATTCGAATAATTTTAAGAACACAAATATATATATACATATAAATACGAGTTGTGCGAGTGTTTAGTCTGAAGTGAGCGGTGTGTTCGAGCTTGCAAATATATTAAGTTCGAATGATGGTATGTGTTCACACACTGGCGTCTATGGTACATTCCATATATATATATATACACACACAAATACATACACACAACTACACTGGCAAAAGTTTATTATAACTTTGTCCATACAGTACCAGCGACCAGCAGTAGACAATTGAAAAAGTTGGTCAACTCGTGAGGAAATATTAAGCAAAGGATATGGCGAACTTCTGCAACAAATAGGTTCGTGTTTCGAGAACATTTATTTTAGCTTATTTTGCTCCAAAAATACGCTCGTTTCGCTGGCATAGCACGCAGTGGGAGTAGCGGTAGATAGTAAAGGCGAAAGCTTCGTAATTTCCATACAATATTAGCTAAAAAGATAAAAAGAAATAGGTTAGTTTTATCATTTACCTGCAGGCAGTGCTATTCATCGTTAGTTTCAGACAGCCAAATATTTTAAGGATTTAGTTTACCCTACTTCGTTACACTTTAAATTAATTTTCCATTTAGCCTTGCTTAAGCTCTTTACATATACATGTATACACTCAATTAGCAGTTAACAGCTGTAATTGTTTCGTTTTTACTATTATTCCAATTAGCGAAATCGCAACAAACTGCAGCTGTTTACGAAGTGAAAGCTGATTGATCCACACATTGTAAATTTTGCTACAACCATGGTTGTAATTTTTATACTCTCGCAACAAAGTTGCTAAAGAGAGTATTATAGTTTTGTTTGTAAGTCCTAAAACTAAAAGAGTCAGATATAGGGTTATATATACCAAAGTGATCAGGGTGACGATTAGAGTTGAAATCCGGATGTCTGTCTGTCCGTCCGTCCGTCTGTCCGTCCGTCTGTCCGTCTGTCCGTCCGTCCGTGCAGGCTGTAACTTGAGTAAAAATTGAGATATCATGATGAAACTTGGTACACGTATTTCTTGGCTCCATAAGAAGGTTAAGTTCGAAGATGGGCAAAATCGGCCCACTGCCACGCCCACAAAATGGCGGAAACCGAAAACCTATAAAGTGTCATAACTAAGCCATAAATAAAGATATTAAAATGAAATTTGGTACAAAGGATCACATTAGGGAGGGGCATATTTGGACGTAATTTTTTTGGAAAAGTGGGCGTGGCCCCAGCCCCTACTAACTTTTTTGTACATATCTCGAAAACTACTATAGCTATGTCAACCAAACTCTACGGATTCGTTTCATTCAGGCATTTCCATATACAGTTCAAAAATGGAAGAAATCAGATAATAACCACGCACACCTCTCATACAAAGGTTATATTGAAAATCACTAAAAGTGCGTTAACCGACTAACAAAAAACGTCAGAAACACTAAATTTAACGGAAGAAATGTCAGAAGGAAGCTGCATCCAGGCTTTTTTTAAAAATTGAAAATGAGCCTGGCGTCGCCCACTTATGGACCAAAAACCATATCTCAGGAAGTACTCTACCGATTTCAATTTCAATTTCAATCCACCACCAGAATCATTCGAACTTACTCGCGAAAGATGTCGAACTCTCTTGTATACTCTTTAACATTAAGTTCATAATTTTCGAGCACCATATGATTCACTTTTTTGTTATTTTCATTAGTTGAAAAAGTCGAAGGTCGTCCAAACTGATGGATGTCGTCAACGATCTCTCGACCGTCTTTGACTGTGTACCACTCGTAGGCTTATGTTTTTGATGAAACTAAATCACCGTCAGCTTTTGCAACATTTGCAATGATTCCGTACACAAAAAATTTGAGGCAAATATCATTGTTCAATATTTTTAACCTTGTAAAAATCGCACAACTGAGTTGTACCAACTTAAGCAGCTGCTGTAAAGACACTGATTGATCGAGCTCATATTTGGCATAGTAATTAAGGACAGTCTTACCAACTTAGCAAGTTACATATTTTTGAATTATTATTTACTAGGGGAATTTAATTGCAATTTCCGGGTGCTTTTTTTTGGGTCAATATACTTATATAAAAACTAACAGAATCGAATCAAACAATATCCAAATTAGAGCCTTAAAGACCGGATCATAGCATATTTATTTATAAAAAAATATTAATTGCGCAATAAATATGTTGTATGGTAAATAACCATTGTTAACGAATTATTTGACAAAATTGCCATTGTATTGTTTAATAGCCTTTTCGCAGCGCCAAATTAATTTAGTATATTAAGATTATAGTTGCCGGTTCACACAGCCGGCAACTCTATTAACGATCACCTGTTATACTATACTTGCTTGTGTTCTGTCTTTTGTATTCGTTTGAGAATTAATGTAATAAAACATTTGTTATAATAATTTTAATTTTTTTATGGTTAATCAATCTAAATTAGCGCTTTAATCGAACATAGACCGGTTTATTGATCAACCTACTTATGTGCGGAAAGGCTATAAATTAAATGAATTGAGGGCATTGCTTGAATGGCTCCAAATGGCTTTTCCTTACAAGATTATAAACAAACTTTTTGTGGCGCAAATTATCTTTGCAGAGATATTTGTTAAATTCTTTTGGAATTACTGGAATAAAACTGAAGAAACCTTTTAAACACATTTGCATTTTCGCTTCAAATTCGCTTTGGAAGACATATTGCATAATAAAGTTGGCTTAATTAACTGTAAATCAATAAAACAACAGGTTTCCTATATGAAATTATGAGTTAGGTGTATATCATGCAATTAATGTTTCAACTTTTGTATATCAAATGGAGGAATATATGCAGACATTTTTGCGGAGTAGAAAGTAGTTATTTTCGATAAAGTACGAACCATAATATGGAATTAATTACGCGTTAATAGAGTCAATTGCCATAATTAACATCTAATTGTATTTTGAAATAGATTAAAAGATTCCTTCTTGACAAAATTCTCCACTACATTTTATTTGCAGCAGCTTTTATCTGCTCAATCATAATTGCTAAATGAGGTATACATTAGAAAATGATACAATATTTTATGGAAAAAATATTGCCTACCCAGTTTTTGTAAATAATACTCCTTCTCAATTTTCATCCGCTCCTTAATACAAATTTTTGATAAATTTATTGCTTTATTATTCATTATAAATTGATTTAAGATGACAAATCTCGTATTAGAAATCAAATAATAGCGTTGAAACAATTAGCATCTTTCTGGTCTAATGTTAGTTATCAGGCTCGGCAATTAACTGCATTTTAAGCTAAACCTAAAGTTTATGTAAGTATTTTCTGTTTAAGCTATTATAGTGTCAATTACAAATATCATTTGATTAAATTAGAGGCGAAAAGCTTAATAGCTGCATTCACACTACTTAATTAACGTTGAATGAATTATGTTTTCACCAGTTGAAAAAGAAAACAATCTAAATGGCAATGTGTACATGCTGGCATTTCTAAAGGCGCATGCATTGCATAACAAAAGTGTGCATGATTTGTAATCGAAACAATTAACAAGCGAGCACGTTACGAGTAATAAATTTACTAATGGCTCGGCCAGAATACTAATTACGGAAAGCAATGCGGGAATCTATAGCGAATATATGGAACAACATTCCATAGATTGCTTGTAGGCGCCTATTATTTATACTGCTCTTGAGTGATACTATGATTAGCTGAGCGCTTCTAAACGAGTTCAAAGACGTGCTACTAATTTTGTTTTTTATTTAATCAAATAAAAAAGCTTCTTAAAAAGATATGGACAAATAATAGATGATAATTTGGCGTGTCGAAGAGCTTTCGTTGTGAGCGTGAATATCTAAAACTCTCTAAACTTTCCGGAATATGTTTGAAATTGCGGATCTTTATGATACATTCAATATAATTGTTGCGAAAAGAACACGAAAAACGGAATCTGTTTGTGGACATGCTTACATACATAGCACGATACTAGCAAGAACCCCTAGTATCTAGAAAACTAGGAAAAAAGCACTAGCAGTTATCAAAATATAGATACTAATTAAAACTATAAAAGTAACTAAGTTGTATTATTAAAAATACTTGTTTTACGAATTTTTTCCGTGTCATTTAAAAATGTGATACTGAGTAATTCATCGATTAATCTAGCCAAATAGGACTTAATTCTACAACACGTACTGAGATATCTGGAAGTAGCTCATTTTTTTTTTAATTTTTTTTTTTTTTTTTTGTTTGGACAACAGCAAAATATTGTGATTTCATTTAGTCATTTCTGGGGTGCAAAATTTCTAGGTATGAATATGTAAGTAAATTAGGTATCTTTTGTGTTTCTGTAACTAGGTAAACCGATTGTAGATTGTAAGTGAAAGACTGCAGATTGAATGTAGAAAACCTAATTAGGAGTTCTTGAGTAGTTTATCAAAAGGAATTTTAGTCTGTCTGTTTATGTACCAATGGTGGATTTTT